GAGCAGTACCAAGATTCGACTTATGCTCGAGTTTCAGTATAGAGCCGAAATACTGCCTCGCCTCGATTTTGGAAGCCGCTCAGCTATTCGAGCTTTACGCGAAGTCCGATGGCCCTGGAGCGAGTATGAGACCGACAGCATTGGTATTCGCTTTCTACTGTTCTATGCTCTGTCGGCATTTTTGATTATCGCTCTCGTAGCACTGCCAACCTATTTCATCAATATTGTCGTTGCGAGAGCTCTTCAGGACTTCGGACAAGCGATTGAGAACTTGAGCATAAGCTTTGTGCTCCTAGCTGATTGCTTCATGCGATCTTACATCAACGGAACGGATTACAAGACAGTCTGTACAGATATCCGCTACGCTCCTGCGAACAGAACCGCGGCTGTACTACATCCTCTTATTGGATCCTTCAACCCAATGATTGACTCGATTCTTGATGAGTGGGACAATTGTTTCACTGGCGAAATACTACCATGGGTAGATGACGCCCCGAAGGAGGATGGCCTCGGGGATAACATCACGTATATTCCCGGCTGTCCCGAGGAGTTTGCGAGTATGGGTGACAACAGTACGACGCACCAGTCATATTACCGAGCAAGAAAGGGGTACTTGAAGGAGGAATACGGGTGTAAATGCACCTGGCTTGGGAAGGTCTATCGAGATGGAGATTAGGGTGATGTAGGCGCCTCAGGACCTGGTTTTCCTAGGCAGGAGAAATGTGTATATCAGAGCTTCTACTTATCTTAATATGGATATGGCTGTTACTTTTGAACGCATGACCTATCTACCAAGACCGATTATCATACCAAAGTTTACGCCAGTTTAGCCAAAAGAAAAGACCCCTCCAGATGCCTGAAATCTCAACAACGAGTCCAAAGTCTAGATACTCGCGGAGAATCCTATCAAGGATGAAATCTCGGCCATCCATCCGACGGAGACACATTGACATACTGCCAAAAAGCACTGCCCCAACGGCCATGACTATACTTGTGATCTGGAAATAGAGCCGAAATATCCTTCGCCAGGGAATTGTCCTAAACACAACCGTGACTTTTTGATGAAACAGCATTTGGTGCCAACCATCAATGCGTCCAAACCTAACTATCGTCTTCTCGTCATGGCTCAAGGCTTGACATTGATTAAAAGTCATCCAGATGAAACATGGTGTGAGGAGAAACAAACGAAGGACCATCCACACTACGTAAGACTGTATCAGAGACCTCACCTTATTGTTGTTACTTAAGATAAGATTGTCCTTGTGTATCACACCCATCTCGTCGACCATGTACTTCCCACTCTGCAGTTCTAGATCAGAGATCATGAGATATGGGATTAGGTTGGTCAGGACGTGGACGGTAAAGTACAACATGGCTGGGGCCGAGGTGACATTCGAGCCTGGGTCGAAGAGTTTTATATCATGAAAATTGACTTCGATCTCGTTCCTTTTGAAGCCAGTTGATCGTGAGACAAGGCGGCTTGAAAGTATTAGACATGGGGGCTTATGGCATAACGGTTAGGCGTTACTGGCCTGACTTAATAGCTAACTAGGTAGCCAAAGGTAGTAAGTTTAAATCCTACAGCCCCTAACCCTAAAAACCAAAAACTAGGGTCACTTCTGCTGCACTTCGGGTTTAACACAACGCCACGTCGATCGCACCGCAAGTCTCGAAATGGCTGTGGCTCCTGCAAGCAATGACACATAAAGTGTGATGAAACTCGACCAATCTGCCTCAACTGCAAGATTATTAACCGTGGATCCCAATGCATCTACATCAACATTGGCCGGCAGCCATTAACGCCGCAAATAACTACACCATCTCCTTCCCATATTTCTTGTCATCTTTCTCCCCCGGACCCGACAGCAACACCGCTTAGCTATGGTGAATCTTCTAGTCCTGCTTTAACTTTACTTAGAGATATTACAGTCAGAGGCGACTTATTTAATCTCAGCTACTTTGCTCTTATTATCATTTTCTATAAATCATTACACTATCATATTAATTAAGGCCTTTAATAAAAGCGTCATTTCTTATATATTGGATTATACACTTAAAGCTCCTTACTTAATAAATCAGCTTCTCGCCCTCTCTACGCTTTATCTTAGTAATCCACCTTTACTCCAGTAACTATACTATTAGCTTGCTACTAGCCTTCAGATAAGGGCATTGGCCTTATTTAATAAGGAGAGGCAGGAAGTTTTAGAAGAGTTATGCGTGCCTATGTTTCTCTTTTTAGCCATAATCAGAGTCTATATCCTCTGTAATACTCTTTAAGGTCCTAGGGAGAGTTTCAGTGCCATTCTTGACCGCTTCATCACTTATCTGTCCATTCAATGTGGTGTTCGTACTGTAACGAAGCATTCGTAGAGTGCAATTAAGAATTCGGGACTTGGGCCTATACTATAGGAAGCTTAAGATGCGTCCCCAGCACTCGGCAACAAAACAGAAGAGACAGCTATCCTCCACGACATGATCGACTCAAACGCCTCCCTGTCATCAGCCACTAAATACCACGACGCCGTATCCACGCTGCAGCGGTCATTTTCTATTCATAAAGCACTGAGTTGGCCTGGCAGATGGCGATTGAATGCCCTAATAATATTTTGTCTTAATATTAATGATATATACTTTAAATTGCTAAAAAAGAGATAGCCAGAAGCGCTAGTAATCTTTGTATTCTTTGTAGTCTTGCTGTATTAGAATAGAGATATATGGGTAATTGGTGATAGCAGATAGTATTTAATATAATCCATAATATCTCATCTCGGTCTCTATTAGGCAGAATGGTTGCAATGGCCCAACTTAATGCTACAGGACAAAAATAGTAGCCGAAGTAATTAATCTGTCTAGAATAACAATAATAATTCTTGACACCTCTTGAGTCTCGGTATATTTGTCGTCGCTAGCGATCATTATATACAAATGCTAGGTAATCCATGCTTCTTTTCATTCTATCGTACCGTGCCCTGTCACTTACTTATAAAGGGTCCAATACTCGACTCGGGGTGCTCAATATAGCGGCCAATGTGTGTTGTCATCATCAGCCACACGCCGATTCTAACTCTTTGTCCTTAAAAGGTCGAAGCTCTACAATTTATTATCTCCCCATTAAGAAATACGGATACGGGGAAACCTCCAGACCATTTGCTGCCTCCAACCTCACAAGACAATTTCTTATCTTAGTCCTGTACCGTTAGTTGAGCTGAGTATTAGCTAAATTGCCGATTACGCGTGTGGAAAATGTCTAGTCATGAATGTATAATTGTAGGAGAAATGGAAATATTAGCAGTATAAGTGCTGTAAGTAAGTTCTTACATTCTTATAGGGACTATGAGATTGCTAGATATTAAAAGGCTTTAGTCTAAGCCTCCAGAGTAGAAAATTGGCAGGAAGATAAATGCTCATATAAGTATAAGTCGTATTTAACTATTTGATCCTATATATAAAGCACAGAACCATGTCTCTCTCTTGCTCTGCTGATGCTGTCACTTAGCTAATAAACTTTAGACGGGAACTTATTAATTTGACTGCCATTTTGGTAGAAAATTACGATTTTGAGGCCAAGTCTATCCTGTGCTATGGCCACCCGACAGCTGTCGTAAAGGACGTGAACTTTTGCAACTTTACAGTCACCTACACTCACCCGGGCCAGAATGACGCTGTCCACGTCTCAACGTGGCTCCCTATGGTCAACTTCAACGGCCGACTCCAGTCAATCGGGGGAGGAGGCTGGGTCGCTGGACGATACCCGCCGGGCTATGCTGCCGTGAGGGAGCAATCAGTGAGGGATATGTCACCTCTGCGGCTGATGCTGGACTACAGCTACGAATGGACTATGGTCCTGATATCTGGGCCCTGACGTCAAGGGCACAAGACACTACTACGATAAGGTGAAGGATATTATTCCTGAAGTCACAAGTTTTTATTGCAAGTTTGAAGTTCCTAGGCTGCTACACTGCTCAGGAGGTAAGGGAGGACAGCCTATAAACACGTTCAATGCACTCCAAGCGTAGGTCGAGAATAGGACTGTGCCAGCTCAACTGCCCCATTCTTTCAGGGACGCTAAAGGTCATGAGCAACAATGTCTTCTTTGCCCTTACCCTCAAAAAGCGTGGTGAAGACAAATGATACTGATAAAGCTGTGTATCAGCCGACCGACTTTGTTTGCGGCTGAGTACTCTAACTGCTTGCCTGAGTCTAGGGTAGCCTGATTATTAAAGAGGCCTTATCGGCAATGTAATATACGTTTACCAGAAAGGACAGGACTAAACTAGATATTTACTTCTTACAGTTGCGACAACCTGCAGTGGGCATGGGGGCTGAGATCTGACTCATAAAGAGTACGAGCTGAAATTTGAGATCCTCTAGGGCCACAACAAGGTTAGTCATGTATCTTCCCTTCCAGCGCGATTGGAAAAAGCGACAGTAGAGTCTTAAGCTTTTGCTGCATTCAATCTTGTGTTTGCGCTTTGCTCGGCCAAGTGGATGAAACTTGGGAGGGCGCTAGATAACCGGGTAATCGCCAGGATGTGGTTGGCTGTTACGTACTCCACTCAGTATCTTATCAGCGGTTATTTATCAGCTGCTAAATTGATAAGCTTCAACAACTGATAAATACTCCATTTATCAAGCGCTGCCCCTTCGCAAGACACAGCCATTTTATCGCTTTTAATTGTAACACCATAGTCAACGCAAGTGAAAGGCATGCAACGCAAATCTCCAGATACTCCAAGACAGCGGGCCCTACAGGCCTGTGACTTTTGTCACTCCAGAGGCCTGAAGTGTCGCCGATCATCTGTAGCCGAGAGGACATCCCGGGAGGGTCACGGAGCTTGTCTCACATGCATTGACTATGGGGCCAAATGCACCATGACTCGGCCGGTCCGAAAACGCGGTCGGAAGCCAACGGTGCCGACTGAGAAAAGCAACAGCCAGAAGCAGGCCTACAATGAGATCTCTGATTTCAGGTCTCCGCAATGCATTCGTCGTCTGATAGACATCTACCGGGATACAATGTATCAGTGTTAGTATGTCATCTCCCCACCCGCTTTGCGTAAACTGCTGCTAAACTACTCAAGTTTTCCATTCCTTTCCGAGAATGATATGGAAAGACGGTGGGCAGGCAGTATACCCAGTACCAGGGAGACCGCGTACCTGCTTCTGATGGCACTATGTGCGCTGAGTGCCCAGAGCCTCACTCTCAAAGCGGTATTCGATAGTACATTGCTGGGCGACCTCGCCTCCCATGACGCCAATATCTATTTCGACGAGGCCGTTTCCCATATTCCAGCACGCATTCCGGATACACCTGATCTTGACTATCTAAGGTCCTTCGGTCTCTTGGCAGTGTACTCGCTCAGAAGCGGCAATAAGAGTGACCTTCATAGATATCTCGGATTATGCCATGCATGGATCGCTCAACATGGGTTCAACATGGAGAATAACTGGGACAGTTCGATCTCTTTACTAGAGGTAGATGACCGAAGACGTCTCTTTTGGTGCGTCTATCGGCTTGAGATTCATTCAGCCTGCGTACTTGGGCACATTATCCGTCTCCCTGAAGCCCAGGTCTCCGTGCTCTACCCTCGTATCACACCTGCTATGAGTCGCGATACGCAGGCCTGGACAGCTGGATGGGATTACATCACCGACCTGTTCCGATTGATGGAGTATGCAATACTTAATCTCCGACAGCGAAAACCTCATAGAGATGTCATTGCCGTTTACTGCGACCGGCCGCCCCCAAAGGCATTGCTCGAGAGTCTGGATCAACTGAAAGCGAGCAAACCTTTCATACTCCGCGTCCTTTCACAGTCACCCGATGACCTTCAGAGCAACCGATGCAAGTTCATGAAGGTTCAAATAACTTGCACTGAGGCTCTGGTAAATATTATGGGTCTGCTTCATTGCCAGGCCCCTGTTGATGAGGTGATCAACGTGGCGGAAGAATTTCTAAATGAGATCACCGAAGCTTCTCTTATCATGTTCAAGGTCGCAAGCAGTCAGATCGTTCATCAACTACTTGGTGTTGGCCATATGGTGTATAATGCATTTCTTTATGATGAGAACCAATCTCAATTTGCAGTAGGACGGCTCGTTACGTATCTGGAGGACATCGTCAAGAACTTGGAACAGGATATTCCCACGGCGTCTGAGGCAAGAGAACAATTGCGAAAGCTGGCAAAATGTATTATATAATATTAGTAACTACAAATGAAATGTCCCCGCGGACTATCTCCTTCTCTTCTGATCCTGTGTAAGTGATCTGCGAGGTCTAACCTGACTCACAGCCCGTCCCTCATTCGTGCGAAACGGCCATGCTAGCCATGTACTTTCTGTAGGATGGTATGGACCATCGTCGAATCCCCTTCCCGTAAACGATCATGACGAGGAAAGTAAGTGTACACGCAAGTGAAATCATGGCCGCTGTGATGAAGCAGTCCTTCAATCCCTGGGTTGTCCACCATGGTGTGATAGCATAACTAAAGCCGAAGCCGATGGTATTGCGAATCAACATGATAGAGACGGTGGTTTCACCAGCGATCTCCTTGAAGCAATCAACGTTGTAGCTGACAGCAATCGCACCTCCAGCGACACATCCAACTGTAAGCATACCTAGACCAAACACGAGGCCGACCCAGTGAACGTGGTAGTATGCACCAACACCCCAGGTGATGAGACCGGCTGATGAGATAATACCCGAGAGGAGTAGCACCCAGAGGCGTTGCTCGGGCTCCCTGATACCCCCGTTCCGTCGCGCTAACCACAGGGCAATCCAGTCTGCCGCCTTTCCAACCCAGAGACAAGCAACGGCGGCTCCAATGATCGGTCCTGCATATACACAACCGACCAGTGCTGCATTCCAATTGTAGGGATTGCTTGACAGAACGGGGCTGGCAGTTCCATTCAGGACATTGTACCAGGCAAGATTAATCCCATAGAGAAATCCAGCCCATACAACTGTAGGGAACTGGAAGATCATAAGGACAGGCCGGTAGACCATTCGTAGCATGTCCGTGTTACTGGGTCGACCTATCACAACCTTGAACCAAGTGTATTTCCCCCAACCAGAGTTGATGTCCTCGTAGATGACCGATGGAGAAGATGGCAGAGAGTTTCTCGGTGATCCTTCATATGCTTTCCCGTCGGCTTTGGACGTCCCTAAGTCCTGATGATCGGTATCGGTAGCTGTTTGACTTTCGAGTGAGGCTCCGCGGAAGTACATTGTTTCTTCCATGAAGAGAAACATGATAACGAAGCAGATTGCGCATATAATTGCTCCAAAATGCATCGTCCACCTCCACCCAAAGGCATCGTTGAACCATCCTGCGACCAGAGGGGCAAGAAAATTGGACCCAAAGAGAATGGCCACGTAGAGACTCATGTAAGTCCCACGGTTATGGGCGAAGAAGAGATCAAACACGGTTACCTCACACAGAGACTCAATTGGAGATACGATGATACCAATCAAGATCCTGTGGGCAAACCATTCCCCAGCAGATGTCGAGTAGGCAGTCCAAACCATTATCGGAATGGTAAGCAACATGGTGGTGAGATAGACGCCACGGCGTCCGTATGTAAGAGCAATCGGTTGCCAGATCAGACAAGCCCAACCAAAGAACAGAAACATGACTCCTGTTCCCTGGACGAGGTTTGCAGTAGAAATACCTGTATCCTTCGTGATGTCTGCCAGGACTGAGTATTGAAGAGAGGTTGCTATACCAGTGCCGAGGACGTAAAGGTAAGCCATACTGACGGCCAAGAGCTTTCGACGATGGGGCCAATTGAGGGGGTCATTTGGATCGGAACTTGGGCGTGGAACTAGGACAATGTCTTTTTGCTGAGAGTCGTGAGGTCCTGATGAGTTCATCCCGTTGATGTCAACGAGACGAACGGTGCCAGGAACATCATCATGGTAGACTGAAGATTCTGTCATCTTGGAGAAACACGGAAGCAATTGAAATGTTGCAATGTCGAGGCGACGACTTGATTGTAACGGCGGTTATGGACTTATATCCAAAATGGAAGTGCCATTAGTATTAACGATAATACAGTTATCGGTAGTACTTAAACTATGGGCCAATCAGAAGTGCATGATAAAAGCTTATCAGACCTTTCAGTTAGATAACCTGTTTCATCCTGATAAATACAATTAACAGCTGGTAAATAGTTCGTCAGCTGCTAATCAATATAACAATTAGCTTTAATCACATTATTTAACAGTTGCACATTTTAATTAACAGTTGTTGTTTCCCTCACAATGCAGCATTGCCGGGTATTTTAAAGCATATTTCAATACTTAAATAATGCCTTCTCACTCAATGGTCTTACTGTAAACCCGTAGCTTCTATAACTCTTCATCACCTAGAGACAGCACCTAAAACATCAAGTCCCTACCAACATGGCAATCGAACACCAGAGTGATGTAAGCTGCATTGCCATCCAATGCCAAAAGGGTTATACAATTACTGACTCTGCAGACACTCTCTATTGTGGAGGCATCAATTGCATCCCTTGCATCTGCACTTTCTCAAGGCCATATCAACAGCGTTGAACTAACCGCCAAGCACTTGCTGAGAATCGCCAAGTATGATCGCAGGACCACCCAACTCAACGCTATCCCAGTCATCAATGAAGATGTGTTTGATGCTGCCCAAGCATCGGATCAGCGTCGCTCCATGGGCAAGTCACTTGGTTTGCTGGATGGAATTCCTTGCACGATCAAAGATTCTTACAAAATTCGAGGTATGACTGTCGCTGCTGGGTCTCCCGCTTTCAAGGATCTCGTCGCAAATGAAGATGCCTTTACCGTTGAGAAGCTGAGAGACGCTGGCGCTGTGTTCTTGGGCCGTACCAACATGCCCCCAATGGCTGCAGGTGGTATGCAACGAGGTGTTTACGGTCGTGCTGAGTCGCCCTACAACGAAGCCTATCTTACAGCTGCCTTTGCTTCGGGTTCATCCAATGGATCCGCCACAGCAACTGCAGCAAGCTTTGGTGTTTTTGGTATGGGAGAGGAAACTATCTCATCTGGCCGTTCACCCGCTTCCAATAATGGTTTGGTGGCATACACTCCCTCCAGGGGCCTCATATCGATCAGAGGCAATTGGCCTCTTTTCCCCACCTGCGACACTGTTGTTCCTCACACAAGAACTATGGAAGATATGTTTGCGCTTTTGGATATCATTGTTGCAGCAGATGACAAGACAAGCTGTGACTTTTGGCGTGAGCAACCTTTCGTCAAGCTCCCCGACGTCGATTCTGTGCGGCCAAAGACGTTCTTTGATCTCTCTGATCCCAATGCTCTCAAGGGCAAGAGGATCGGTGTACCAAAGATTTACATTGGCGGCGTCGACTCTGACCCGGATGCACGAAAGGTCCATACTCGCGAGAGCGTCATTGAGCTTTGGAAGCAGGCCAGGACGATACTAGAGGGACTAGGCGCTACTGTTGTCGAGACAGACTTTCCGCTCGTCACCGAGTTTGAGATACCTCTTGGTGGTGAGAGCGAGTCAGAAACACCGCCTCATCGCAATGACATTGATATGTGCCAGTTGATGGCCTATTCTTGGGACGACTTCCTGGCAGCGAACCAAGACGGCAACGTGGCAACCACCCTTGCACAAGTCGAATCGTCAACCATATTCCCCCATCCTCCTGCATGCTTACCTGATAGGTACGACGCCAATGATCCTCTTGTTCGACATACAGTTGTTGTTGCCCACATCACCAATGGCCGGGTCCCGACTTACAACATTCCAAACCTTGGTCAGGCACTTCACAATCTTGAGTTGAAGCGCAAGTCGGCGTTTGAGGACTGGCTTGATGCCTTGGAGTTGGACATGGTAGTGTGGCCTTGTAATGCCGACGTGGGCAAAGCCGATGCAGACATCAACGACGAGTCTGCAAAGCATGCGTGGCTCAATGGTGTGTTGTATTCTAATGGAAACTGTGCAATTCGTCAGTTTGGCATTCCCACCGTCAGCGTGCCAATGGGTGTCATGGCTGACACGAGGATGCCCGTCAATCTCACCTTCGCATCCAAGGCTTATGATGACAAGAACCTGTTTCGCTATGCCTATGCGTTTGAGAAGGGCAGTTCTCTTCGACACCAGCCATCGAGAACCCCACAGCTGGTGTCAGATACTATTGTGCTCGGCCAAGAGAGTAGGGACATGGGGTCATCACCGCCCCAGCTCGCTATGGATGCCACAGTGTCAAATGTGAACGGAGAAAGACAATTGACAATTACCGGTGCCGTTAACGAGGACGAATTGAGCGGACTTCATATTTATCTTGATGGGGAGGAGTTGGAAGACGTCAGGGTTGCCAATGGGAAATGGGAAGTACAGGTGAACACGAAGGAGGCGCGGAGGTCCCGACCAGAGGAAATCAGCGTCCCTGATTTCAGCAAGTCAATGGTCTTAGCCTTGGTCAAAAGCAAGACAGGAAGGTCTACTGCTAGAATGATGTTCATTTAGTCGCAGCGCAACACTCACCCATTCTTTTCTACCAACCTATGTACCGGCCTTGCTCCATCATTGCCACTTAAGTAGACAACATCGAGATCCAGTCACCTGTTTCCCAAAGTTACCAATGTCGGAAAACTAAGAGCTTCAACCGCTGCGGGCGCCTTGTCCCCTAGTGATCGAAACACCTCATCCAATGCTTCCCACTTCTCATATCGACGCTGGCCGCCCTCATCATATGTAGAAACCTCCAAGTCCTTCACTCGTGATCGCACGACCCATCTCTCACGGGAATCTGCCACCGCCACCGCCTCATCGACCCATGTGTACTGAGACCAAGGCTCTTCTCCATAGGCGAAGGCCGTCCATCGTCGCACAAAGCCGACGCAGACATCGCGCTGTCTCTGGAGAGGGAGACGCTCCGTGAAGGTCATGAATTGGTAGATGAGTTCGATGAAGTGATGGCCAAGAACGTTGGAGAAGAAGGAACCAGGGAAGGGATTGCGCAGTGAGAGGATACAGCGATGTTGTTTCTTGCCACTCTGCCATAGCTCTCTTGATAGGATGTGGCAAGGTACTGTTTGCGACTCATGTTAGTCCTGTTAAAACAGATGGGCGCTGGATGGGAGATCGTCTTACATGAGAACATGACATCGCCACATAATGTGCATAACCTGGTCCAGAACAAGTTTTGATCCATGACTGTGGATATTTCGTATATCTCTAGTACTCTCTTGGAATTTTCTACTCCAAGTGCATTTTCTACGTGCTTGTAAAAGACTTCAGGCCGCACATCCATGAGGTTGTGGGCAAACAGATAGCCCTAAGTTCTGTCAGAACCGCGATCGATACAGGACCTAAGGTTTACTACTCACCTCAAAGACTGCATCACCCGCGACGATGGCATCTACCCAGGAGCACTCGGATAGTATCTTTGCGTGGTTGAGGTAATTGGGAATAATCGGAAAGAAGCTTTTGTCGGCCAGTGGTGAGAAAGCTGCCTTGTTGATAGACGAGGCTGCCTCAACAATCTTGGCAGTTGGCAAAGCTCTAAGCTTCTCGAGACGCTGAGGGTGAAGGGGTGCATGAAGGAAAGCAGCTATCTGTGCATATAATTCTACCTAGTAGGCAGGAAGAAGTTATGAAAACATTGAGCAACAGGCAATGGAAGCTGAGCTTGGGTACCAAGCAGGGGCTCTAGTAGTAGACTAGAAAATCTTCATTTCATTATTACATAACATTACATTAACTTAACCTCCGAATAGCATGTGCGCCTATTCACGTGACTTCTCTGCTACCTGAGCTCCTTTGTCTTCCTCGAGTACTTCAGTAAAGCTTGGGGGTGCGTCATCTTCATCCGGAGGCTGGATCCACGATTCGTTCCTTTGCAATTGAGACGGACCTGGTGCACCGTCAAATGCAGCTTCAGTTTCCGTCCTTTGAACTGAGGTCTTATCACCCAGTCGCCCTCGCTCGTCGCTTGGCTTCAAGATCTTCAACGGGACTGCACCCATCGCACTAAAGCGCTCTCCCGCTATTTCACCTATGACCTTCCATGTCAGCCTGTGCGAATGACGAATGTTGTAAGTGGTAAAGGTAGGGTTGAGTTTTGGTAAATTGCTTGGTCGATGAGGAGAACCAGGTCGTGGTTGTTCAAGACGCAAATCGAGTATGGCTCCAATGTCGAGTGGGGGTCCGTCATCTGTGCAGGGGATATAGATGTCGTCCTGAATTCTGTTTATGGCACTCTCAACGCACAGGTCAATCTCCTCGCGTTTCACCTTTTTATGGGGATACAGAGTTCCTTTGCAAATGACCTCGGTGCTGCTGGCGATTCGCATCGAAATTGATGATAGTTTGACCTTTTGTGGGACTTCCTTGATGATTTCGCTTGTCCCACTCAAATCCGGGACGACTCGTAACTTGAACGGGATCGGAGTTGGGTTTTCGAGTTGAATGACGGATGGGACATCAACGAGAAGATTGTAGACGAATTCTGGTACACTAGAAGTGCTGAAAGACTGCTTTATCTTCTGAGAAAATGATAACTTGACGTCTTCCATACCTGGGACAAGGCGATAGCTCGAAATGGTCTGACGACTCCGTGACCCTTTGAGCCTAAAGTCGGCTATGGGAGGGTCAGGACTGAGGTTGATGACATTGAACGGACGGAAAGCTTCAGTCATATCAATATGACCTTTTCTGGTGACCCTCAAGGTAGCTTTCAAAAAGTACTCGACAAAGCCCTCGGTGTTTCCAAGGGCGCGAAGTGTATAGGTCGATGGTAGAACGTAGTCTGTTGCGCCAAGAGGTATAAAGCTCTCGTCTTCGCCCCCGCCTTGCAAGTATCTCGGGTCTACATACTTTGGCAGTGTTATCGCAAACGGCCATGTCTGCTCATCGCCGTCGGTTTCAATATGGAGCGGGCCTTGGAAGATCTTTTGGGAGTAAGCAGACTCGGGGATGAGATTGAAGCGGCCTCGGTAAGTACTTGTGTTGTTATTTGCGCGATGGACCACTATCTTGGATTTGGTCCTCCCAGATAGAGAGATGGAAACTGATGAGTCTGGACTCACGACAGGACTTTTTCGGTAAACACAGCCAATAATTGTGTCGCCTGGAGAATATGAACGTTGGTTTCGTTCAAGGCGGATGCCCAGTGCTGGGGACGATGAAGGACCTGTCTGGGGCATTTTGTCGGATATGAGGATGATAGAAAATAACGATAAGATGCTGCTTTGTGTCTCATTTTATTCCAAGCAGAGACAATAAGAGTACCTCTTACTCTCAGCCTAATGTGGCGCAGTTGGCTGCGCCTTTGCCCGGATTTGGTAGCCACCGAGTCTAAGCATATGCCATCCAATCAAGGGCTGTGATTGCGCGATATGATGCAAACTCTGCCACAAAGAGTTTGGATCAGACTTTCACCACAAGGGGTCACGGGTAACTGAGGTGCATAAAGTGCATAACTCTATATAAGCCATCGCACGAGCAGCAGTCAGGCCCTCATTTATACTCAAATGGAGATAGTCATGGCGAGGTCAAAGTCTGCAGCCAAAGTCGCCGAGAGTATATTATCTGTGGTTTTTTTACGGATACTGTTACTCTTAACTCTTTGAGCTCATTTTATGCAAGCGTCATGCACAATGAAAGTGGCCATGGTGCAGACGTTATGCTAGCATAAGCAAATTACAAAAAACCTACCCTACTCTCAGGCAAAAAGAAGATAACATAGTTCCTAATAACAATCAATGTTCGCAGAAATTCCATTCCATCCTCTCAAATCTCGATTCCTCCTCTGCTTTAAATGACGTCCGCTCCTTCATCAAATCCATGCGCACCTCTTTAGCTTCTTCCAGATCAATTGGCCAATCCATGTTATCAACCACTTTTTCAACCAACTCCGGTGGCATCACACCACGTCCAGAATCCAATCCTGAATGGGTTGTCCACCAATGCTTCTGCTGCGGCGGCACGTTGGAAGTGCTGATGATGGGTATCGCTGGGTCGACGAGGAATAACGCGAGGATCTTTCTATGACCGGGTCTGGTAGGATCGGCGAGTTTGAATTGCGAAACATGATGTTGCAAGACGTTGGGAAAGAAAATTGCCCTACCAGACTTGGTGAGAACAGAACCAATATCTTGAAAGATACTCCCTCCCAGAGTAATATCAAAAGTTCGCTCAATTGGATCATGCCTGTTCTGCTCATATGAGATCTCGGCAGCCAGGTCTTCCTTGTCAGCGCAAGTCCGGAAATCCAGAGTGCAATCTGTAATATTATCGCTGTCGTAGTAGTAAAGAGCTGTGCTGACAATATGCTCATTTAGCAGGCCTTCTGTATGCCACGAACCACCATTGTAGACGGGCTTGTCAGGCGTCAAGTGAATGTTAGCAAGCTTGACAATGACCTGGATCTGACTGCTATTATTGAAAAACCCATTGGCTTTCACATCTGAAGCTTGAATCTTCACATGATCCTTTGCGCTTGGGTCGGCGTCGGGGAGCTTGACAGAGTGGGTTGATGCAAACCAAGCGTCATCCAAGTTTCTGCGTATCCAATTCGTCTTATAATCCTCTGCCTTCTCTTCACCCAGTTCGTAGTAATCTGGCTCACCATCATCTTCCTCAATGTCTGCCAGTATTTCTTCCCATGACTCAACGTCGTACCTAGGCTCCTCATCCTCACCAAGAGGACGCCTCCATGGAGTGCAGCCATAGCCGTCCTCGACGTCACAAAGCTCTGGGCAGGGACACTCATTATATTCGGCCTCAGATGTTGTGAGGCGCTGCACCGAAAAGGAGTCTTCCCAATCGTAGATGATGTCCCAAGCTGGTAGTGACCTTTCGATGAACCTTTCAATGATGGGATAGAGACGGGCATGTTCTAGTGGATGAAGATTGTTGATGTAACTCGCAATCTTAGCTTTGCCAGTCTCCGGGTCAAGGTCAACATCGCATGGTAACCATTGGAACTTGTTTGACAACACCACGACCTCGTCTTCGCAGAAGCCGCCCTCTCCGATGATATGCGTTGTCTGCTCGGACCCTGGTGCGCGTAGTACGACGCCGGTACCACAGGAAGCAAGGGCATCATCAACCCCGATGACTCTATCATCGAGAACTCTGGAGCGACCATAGATCAAAGGCCAAAGTGAAGGATGCACGAGATCCAGAACTTGTTCCTTGGAGTTGGGATGCCAATCTTTCAACTCCGGGGGGACATCTTCCAACGGCTTCACACCCTCTTGGAGAGCTTCGGCCAGGTCAGGTGTCAGTAAACTGTCCGATTTGATGATAGTAGTTGCATAGTCGTAGACAGGCATTAAACCGGTCTTCTCGTATAGCTCTGCTTTAACTCGCAGCTCACTGATGCACTGTTTGAGTATTAGTATTATAACATCGAGAACACCATGGCTCAGCTCCGACTCACTGCATTGGCCATAGCGGAGGTAAAGTCGGCGTGCTTCCGATAAGAAGTCCAGTTCATTTCCAATGCCTCTTTCTTCCACTTGCTGGAGATAGCTTCATCTTTAACTTTACGCCACCACTCCGGTTTATCAGACAGCTCATTCACGAGCTTGAGCATGCAAGTCTCGCGGATAAGTAAAGTGGCGGCTCGCCAGCCATTCTCGTAATTATCCTCCATGAAAAGCAGAGGGAAGCGGTCCTCTTGATCGGGCATGTGGCCAAGAGGCAAGCCGAGGCCCGGCTTTCGAATGACAAAGTCGACCTTGTCCTATGACTCTTGATTAAAATGGATGACTCTGAGAGCCGATATAGTTCTTACCTCGCTATTGCTCTCATTACTGGAGAGGTATTTGGCCCGTTTCAACATGAGAACCAGCTCTGAGTAAGAGAAGGTGTTGTAAGAGAGATCGTATCTTCTTGTAAGCCAAGACTTTGCCTTGAGTACTCCAGGATTCTTAGAGTCTTTGACCCAGTCATTGAATGAATCCAATTGCGACTGACTCAGCTTAGACACCGCCTCGCTCGCAGCTAGTAGCTCTTCTTCGGCAATGGTAAGTGGTGCCGGCTTTGGATCCTGGGTTTGAGTCATGAGAGGCTGACGATGATGTTTTCTGAGGAGTTGATTGCACAAAGGGATTGGAGGTCTTGAGCAGTATATTTATATTCGATCCAGGCCGTATTTCCTGGGGCTTGAAACAGGCAGATGCAAGAGTAAGGAGAGGAGATAAAATAATTTTCGGTGACTGCCTTTCTCGGCATAACGCCCCTGGGCCCATAAACCTATTCCTGTTGAGTGAGAAGCGGTAGTAGTCAGTGGGTGCCCGTAAAGGAATTCAGGCAGCTGAGTGCTTAGCGTTGAGTTTAATTGCTTAGCCTGCATCCATCTTCACGACGTGAATTTTCGTCAACCAAGAAATGCTGCAGGCTGTTATTGTCTCACTCTCTGTTACCTATAGCTTCTTTCCTTCACAATCCGCTCAAGATGGCAGCCTCTCCTCATAGCATGTTTATCTTCTTAGTGCGCAAACTTTAAGTTCCTGAGACTCCATCGGCAGTACCAAATCCCATCGCGAGGACTAATTTGATCCACCTCCTATCTTTAGGGCCAAAGCCAATGGGTCCACTTGGTTTCACGACGCATTGACTAGATACTGAACTTAGGTCGTAAATCCCAACTTCATTTATTAGTAATTGTCGGCGAGACGCATCTCCGAAAATTGTATGGAATTCTGAGAGGGGACTGAATTAATATTTTAGGTACCTGGATTCTAATATTAAGTCTAATTAAAGCTGAGCGAAGTTGTGTTTCCGAAAAGGCTAAGAGAATGAATTCCTGGTGTGAACTCGATCAATGTCATAGGGGTTGCCATCATATACTGAAGATGGACCATGGACCGAGGACGTTCGTCTATGGCCTGAAGTGATCACTCCTTCGTCAACGACTGTACGCTCGTCCTCGGTACTATTGTCCTGCTCCTCTAACTCGCGTTCTCGTTGATTCTGGGCCTCCTTTAAACTTTGCATAAAGGCATCCGATTCAGCGGCAAATTTGCAATGAGTCCTGATGCGCGCTCCATATATGTAGAAAAGGTACGGAAACGGGAGACAGACCAACGCCAGGAATGCTGGGATGCTGGATGCCCAATGCAATCCCAAGTTGTCATACATCTGTACTGTAAAGAGCGGAAAGGCTGCGCCGAACAAAGAGCGTAGAATCGAATTAGCAGCAAGAACTGAAGCGGCAAAGATGGTATATGCATCGACCAAATAATTCAGGATGCTTAGAAACACCAAAATCATACCAAAGCCGAAAGGAGCACCAGCCATGATGCTGACAATCCAATGAATGGATGGATAATTAGTCCAAGCGAACCAAAACAGCCCCACTGGGATTGCAAAAGAGCCAACTATTGCTGGTGGGAGCCGAGCTTCTGGTGGTGCAAAACCGTTGTGCTTTTGATGGAGGAGAACATAGCGCTTGTTGTCAGGGATCGTATAGATCAAAGCCGCCAACATACCCACAGCTATACCTAAGAATGCTAACCCTTCGATACCTTGACTCCAACCCCGAGCCTGTTCAAAAACTACCGGAAAGCCAGCGAAGAATAAGTAGAGGGTACCGTAGATAATGGCCATATAGATCGATAACAGGAGAACGATAGGTTCCTTGAAGAGGAGAATCCACGGCCGCAGGAGGGAGGTGCCAATAGCACTGCGCAAAGAGACCTTGCCTTGTTTCAATTCGATGCTGCTAGTATAAACTTTGCCAGTCATGCTAGACAGTTTAGCAGCCCGGCGCCTCAGCAACGTCGGGGCATAGGTTTCTGGAATGAGGATGGTTCCTCCGATCCACATAACCCCAGCGAAGATGGCAAGGAATCCCATCACCCAACGCCAACTAGCGTTCTCGCCGAGGAATCCGCCGCAAATAGGACCCAACACTGGACCTAGAGATGGTCCAGCCACAAAAAGCGTCATCGCTAAGCCTCGTTGTTCGGGCGCAAACATATCAGCTATGGCTCCGCCAGCATTGGTCAAGGGAGAAGAACCAAAGGAACCAGCTAGGAATCGGAAGACCAGTAGCGAAGCCCCATTAGGAGCACCAGCACAGGCTGCATTGAAGATGGTAAGGCCAGCATAGGTTCCGATAAACAGTAGCTGGCGGCCAAAGATCTCACTCAGTGGTGCCCATAGCAAAGGCCCGAGAGCGAAACCAACGACAAACAGAGAGACGCCCAGAGTTGCTACCTCCTGGCTAAGGTGGAAATCTCGTATGATTTCCTTTATGCCTCCCGTATATGCCGATGATACCAGACTAACAGTCAAAGTGGCAAATGAAACGGCTAACGTTATGGACCACTTCTTTGAGTCTTTCCATTGTTGGGGATTTCTTGGGTCGTTTGGGATCCATTGAACCACAAAAGGGTCTTGCTCGGTGCCGGACCCTTGATAGTTGTAGGCAAGGACCTCGGGCGTAACACCAGCCTGATCGATGACAAGACGCCAGTGTGGGAGAGGTTTCGTCTTCGTGTCTTGGGCGTCGTCGGGGCGGGTCTTCTCGTCGGAATCCGCCATTGTTGCTTCGAGCGACGGGCTGAGTTGGAAGATTGTTGCTGAGTTTGGATATGCTAGCTTGCACGTTTAAATCGCAAGTGCACTCTTTGTTTCCTCCAGTGAGTGGACGGCGCAGTGTTCCTCAGGTGATTGCTGTGTTGAGGATGGGACAGAGGAAGTGTGGAGTGAGGAACATAGTGGAAAGTTGAAGGGACATAATATGGCTAACAATGAAACTCAAATGCCGTCCTGGCAAGGTCCAATATTCTAGACAGCGACGTACCAGTCATCGAAATTGCGTTATCAGCTGTGACGCGTAGTACATCATTTACTAACAATCTGGCACCGCGGACGCTAGATGGTCCCCGACTCTCCACGGAGTTCGAGTCCGCGGAAAGTCAAATCTGGAGTTTCTCAACTTGCGAATTTGGGTTCTCAAGTGGGGCCACTTCTTGATAGATCCACGAGTAGTCGTTATCAGACCAGGCAAAATCGGGCATCGGTGGTTTTCAGTTCCGATCCATGCAACGTTTGTCATCATGCAGGCGATCAATCTTGACCCTGAAAGCTTATTCTTCGGCCCGTGCTCATAGACAAGCATTTATATGTACCGTACCATACGGAGTACGGCATATTGCTACGGCATTCGTTTTGAGTAAGCAATTTAGCCTCTGGACTAACTAAATAACAGCTACATTGGACCAATTAGACATCGCCGCAAGGAAAACTACCTCGGTCAAGACCTTCGAGCTCCATATCTTTCCACTCTGCCATTGGTGTATTTTCGGGTCCGACGGCACGTTGATTGAATCTGGATGGACCGTGTGATCCCAGATCTTAGCTGGATGTTTCGGTAGCTGTTTGTTGTTACAGCTCTATTAATATAAATGCTTATCAAACCCTAATATCACCGTAGAGGCCGGCTGCAGTGTTCGATAATTAGTAGGAGGTAACGGGAGATGACCATGGCGTCTGTCACATGCAAGTAAAGACTCAACTCGTGGAGATGGTCCTGTATTGATTAGTTCCAGGCCCTCCCGAGGTTGGCGGAGAGCTGATGTCGCATGGCTCGAATGCTGTCTCGTCTCCGCTGGTTGTAATACTAAAGAATGAACCATCAGTATCACATTGCAATTAAACAGTATGTGGTTAGAGAAGTCAAGTCTCTTTGTGCTGATTATCATAGCTACTGAGAGGTATTAATAGTCGATCAGCTTGTAGGTTCTCAAAAGCTGGAATCGCACCCCCGGCCCTAGTCATGGACCAAACTTAACCCAAATTGTAACCGGGCTCTTTTCTCTCCCGTCCAGTCCTTGTTCCATTGACTTCGAAGGATTTAAAGCATGCCGCAATTGACATTAAGGTATATGGAAGCCTGCTGGGTTGTAAATATTCTGCTGTCGTCTTAGAAGTAGGTGTTTCACTGTGAAAAAATCTTTTCCAGCTGGCGATGCGGACCTGGGCGAGGTGCACAGTGTTTGCGCAGAGGAGCATGTGGATGGCGTCTTTGCGAAATACATTGTTGCCAGAGGTGGAACCTTGATGCGCAAACCAGAGAGCCTGGGCTTAGAAAATAGCTCATATCAGTCCACGCGCCACCATCTGCGGCGGCCCTAGAAGCAGTGACCTGACCGGGGAGTTCAAAAACGACATTCATACGACCTGCAGTATGGCGGGCAAAGTCATCAAATCTTTTGAGCCTTTCTAGCTTTGCACTAACTGGGAGAGAAACATGGTGCCTAACCCGGACTGCTACTCTAGTTGCAACGACGATTTGTGCGGTGCACTTGATAAGAAACATCGGTGGGGTTGTCTCCTTGGTTGCGATCCAAACTGTGCAAAACCTCCTGAAAGAGGATATGATCATATCAATTAAGCTATCGAAGTCCGCAAAGGCCAAGGCGAGAAGGCAATCACCTACGAGCGATGCAGCGGAGCATTCAGTACGGAGTTCGGTCGCTGTAGCTCCGGTAGCGAGCAGAATCACTGTAACTTTTGGTTCAGAATGGACCTTAGCAGGGATGCTTGTCCCTAAACTTTTAAACGTAACTGTACTCGGCCGGGCTTAATCAAGTATTACTAAAAAGAGATTTATACTAGTATCGAAATAGTTGCCTACTCTAAAATACACCCTCATGTTGTAGAAACTCACTCAACAGTCCTCGGTGACAGCAACCAGCCTATAAGCAAGTATGAAATTATTGCAACCAGTCCAACCCTAGTACCTATTAAAAGTTCTGATTAAAAGGAAACCGGAAAAAACGAAATACTTCTTGACAAATTAAAAACCCATTATACTCACTCGGTCTCTTTCTCGTCATCAAAATTGGCAAATGAACTCCTCTTTGCAGCAAGTTCAGCCAACTCTTCCAAGCTTTGCCCACTCATGATGTCGAATACAGCAACATCAGAGCCAACCTCCTTCATAAACCAGGCGCGCAACTCGACTGCAACAAGGGAATCAACTCCATAACTGTGAAGAGGCTTTGATACGTCAATGTCTCGTTCGCTTGAAGATAGAGCTTTGCAGAGCTTCTGAACAATAGCTGCGCTAACAATCTTGGCTGCGTCAGCTAGTGAAGCCGCCGCTGGTAGTAGCGTGGAACATGACGTGGCTGAGCTTTCGCCGTCGCCTTCACCCTCATGATCACCTTCGCCTCGGATCTGGTACAGATGCTTGAACAGAGGATCAGTCATCCAAGCAGGTTCTGGAATACCCTTGATGCGAAGAGTAGCTGGCGCCTCAAGACCAACTGCAATCTGAGCAAATGAGGAAGCCTGCGACTCTTGGTTGACATTGGTCGAGTACTTTCCATTCGGGTCGCATAACATGTCGAGCAGAGCAAGGAACTCGTCTTCTCGCATGGCATTGAAACCTTCTTGACGAAGATTAGCCATGCTCTCCTGGTTCTCGGCAGCGAACCCGACAGAAAGGATCATTCCTAGGTCAACAGCTACACCTGGAAGCCCCAAAGCAACCCTATGGCGAGCTAAGGAGTCTTGGTACGTATTGCCCACGCAGTAGTTGGATTGACCTCGGTTGCCTACCACTCCAGAAGCAGACGAGAGGAGGATGAAAAAATCCAGGTTCTGCGGAAGAAGCTCGTGTAAGTTTCGTGATGCAACCACCTTGGGGCGTACGGCAGTGTAGTAGTCCTCCTGAGACATGTTGGAGAATATACTATCCTTGAGTACCATGGAGCCTTGGATGCAGCCCTTGATAGGCGGCATCGTTTTGGCGCAATCACTAAGAACTCTCTCAAGAACAGCACGGTCAGAGACGTCGCATTGGGGTGCCGCTGCTGTCACACCAGCGTCTGCGAGCTCCTTCATGAGTTCCTGAGCTGCAGGTCGTGTGGTTCCAGACCGAGAGAGTAGAATGAGATTCCTGGCTCCACGAGATGCCATCCAACGTGCTGCACTGCGTCCAAGACCGCCGAGACCTCCCGAGAGAAGGTATGTTGCCTCGGGATCAAAGTAATATGTTGGCTTCCGACTGGGCTCGACCTGGAGTGTGTTAGCGTTGATGCCTGCTATGAGCTGCTGATGAAACTTACCATGACGAGATCATCATCTTGAGCCTTCAAGACAAGCTTGCCCATGTGAGATCCTGATTGCATGATTCTGAATGCCTCTTGTATGTCCGAGTAGCTGTAAACATGCAATGGCTGGGGTGGGGTAATGGATCCTTCGGCAAGCAGATCGACAACATCTTGAAGGACACGAGAGAACAGTCGACCTCTTTCGAGTGATATGAGACCAATGTCAAAGAAGGAAAATGTGACGCTCTTCTTGAACGGTCCCATTGGGAGACCAGCGTTGGCAAAGATATCGACCTTGCCAATTTCGATAAATCGCCCGTATGGTGCAATACAGTCCCAGCTCGCACGCAGCGTCTGTCCGGCTGTAGAATTGAGAATGACATCGACGCCACGTCCATCGGTCAATCTCTTGATGCCATGTACAAAGCTCAGGTCACGACTTGACAGGACATGGTGCAGAGGAATACCGTAGTGCTCATGCACAAAGTCTCGCTTCTCAATGGAACCCACAGTGACGAACACCTCAGCTCCAACCGCCTTGGCCAGTTGGATAGCAGCCTGCCCAACACCACCAGCACCCCAGTGAATCAGGATGCTCTCTCCGGCCTGGAGGCGCGCGAGATCATGAAGTCCGTAGTAGGCGGTGGTGTAAACAACTGGTACTGCCGCTGCAACCGCATAATCGATGCTTGAGGGAATCTTGGCGAACTGCCATTGAGAGCCCCGTGCGAAGGTCTTGAAAGTTCCTCTAAGGAGACCACAGACACGATCGCCGACAGAGACACGATCAACATCTGTTCCGACACGAGTCACTACACCAGCGCACTCTTGCCCAAATGCTTCGCCAATGACCTGACCGAGAGCGATCATGACATCAAGGAGGTTGAGGCCAGTAGCGTGCACGCGTACCTCGACATCATAAGGTCCGAGGGGCTTCTCATATAGCTCATCATCTTGGAACCGAAGACTATCGAGAAGACCAGGCACAGCACACTGTAGAGTCAAAGCTCTGTCCTTGCTAGCATCCTGCCATGTCTCTGACCTGGCTGACTCGCCCTTGGTCTTGGCGGCAATCAGATGATTGACTGTGTTGGCCTCGGTGATGCGTGGAATGTAGACAGCGCCGTCTTTCTCGAAGAAGGTGTTCTCATTCCCACCTCCTGAACTCAAGATTCGCAAGATGATGGAGCTGGCTTTGTCTAGGGAATCCAAGTCATCGACTGACAAGGTGACAAAGTTTAGTCCTGGATTCTCAGCACGCATGCAACGAGCGAAACCAGTCACCATGTCGGCGCCAGGGTTCTTGGGTGAAGGGCCGCCTCCCTGGTTAACCCAGAGTAACGTCTTGGTGGAACTAATCAGTTTCTGGAAAGCCTCATAGTCATCGTCGTGAACGTGTTCCAGGAAGTTGGACTCCAGATCCCCAAGAAAGATGCAACGAGTTTGCTGTAGATCCTTGAGATCTGCCACAGCATCGTG